GGGGATGAGTGGGGGAGAATGGGGAAGGTGGGGTGAGTGGGGCGACGGGGGGAACGAGTTAGGGTTAGGGGGGAGGGGGTTATGGAGAGGGAGTGGGGTGGCCAGTTGGGCCAGGTGGGTCGGCCTGGTGTGAGCTAGGCCGCCTGGTCCAGTGGGGGGGGTTGTTGTTTTTTCATTTTTTTTATAGTTTTGTTTTCTGTTTTTATTCTTTTTCTTATTCTTTATTTTCTCTATTGTTTTAATTCATTTTAAATTATTTAGACATCCCGTAGAAACGGGGTTCCTTCCCCATAAACACCTAGGCATTAATCATACTCCAAAAATTTTACTTTAATGTTTGAAATTTTTTGATGTTTGACGAAAATTCAAATTTGAATTTGAGCAGTTTTGATCCAACGCGAGATTAGCAACAGTAATCAAGGTGACATGGCATCATTACCAAAGGTTCACTGTATCTTGATTATCCGTGCGTCACAATTCTCCTCCACTACAAGAAATCTCATCCCGAGATTTCAGAGGGGTGTATTGAAAGTTCTAGTTACGAAATCCTAACGGATCTTCTCGTCTTTGGTTGCTCTTCTCGAAGAGGTCGATCCATTACATTGATGTCTTCATTTCTCTGCTTCAGGTCATCATGATGAAGTCGGCATCCTTTCTTCGGAACTCTATCATACTTACGAAAGAATAAATGGGTATTACGGGAGAACGGACCTATGCAAGGTTGACTATCTGGTCGATAACATCGAGGAAGGTGGTGAAAGTATCTCTTGAATTGAAATTTAAGAAAATATCGAGAGCAAAATAAGGAGGTATCATGGGAAGTTTAAGCGGATAGACAATCGTTCATTGCCTGAAACAGGGCGTGAAAGGGGTTCAAAGCAATGGGAATAAGTATTGTGTCTGATACCAGAATTGATGATCTCTCAGAAAGTGACTCGTGAATTTCATACGAGGCCATGCGCGAGGAACAACCTTGGGAAGAGGGAGTGCACAGGAGAGTCAGGTTTCGATCTTGTGGAACTCTGGTTATGGGCCCACCATGTGGGTTAAAAGTAGGAAGGCGGTGACGACTTGCACGATCATGTAAGCAAGGCATGCGAGAGGATAGCCTGTCAGTTATGTCGGCAACAACATCGGTACCAAGGGCGAGGGACGAAGAGAACCATTCTCCTGCTCGTTGAACGAGGCGGACCAATAGGCAAAGTTCTCGTCCATCGGTGGTTGCCGGAATGTTCTCAACAATAGTAGCAGGGTTTTACTAGCAGAGTTGTGCAACCGGGGTGTTACATAAGCAGAGAATTATTACTGCTTAGATTATGTGTGGATCACCAGAAAGGGTAAACAAACAAACGGAAAGGAAAAATGTGATTATCAGTCTAAACAAACCAATGGAAAGGAAAATTTGTTGGTACACATATTTCAGGGGGATATCCTCCACAAGGACAAGCAAAGCATGATGTCCCTGACATGATAGAAAGTAGAAAATCATTTAGGTAAGGGGAGAGGAATTTCATAACATTATCCATACAATGGTGTTTGGATAATTGACAAAGAAATTTTAGCATGGTGCTTAAATGTTCTTATCAAAGATCGGAGTACCACAGACATGCTTCGAGATAGCATTGACATGGTCTTTAAGCAAAGGTTAGACTTTGGATACATGAAGGATTCATCAGGAACAACTTGTAGAATAAGTCTTATAGTTTCCTCATGGAAGAATGGATAGCCTTACTGAAAAAGGAAACTATAACAATAGGTCCTCCGGCCAGGTGTGCTAGGCATGACATAATCTTACCGGGTAATATAAAGACCAATGTTATAACTCTTGAATATATGTTCCAATCATCATATCTGACCGAGATTCAGATCTGATTGGTGTCAGGATACCTCAAACTTACGATGCCCGAGGAGAAAAGGTGCAATACCAATTGACGAGATGACATTGCAAGATTCTCGGGAAATGAACTATGGGAGCGGGTCCTTGAAACAATAGTTCATCACTAAACCAAGGAGGGGATTAGGAGGTGGCTGATGGGCTCAACGACCATTCATCGAGAATTCCAAACGGATGGATTTCCACAATAATGTGAACAAGAAGATGACACTTGTCAATTCAAATGATATAATGTTGTATGCTCGAGGAAAACACACACCATCAATCATTAGTTGAAAGGTGTGCCCTAAATATGACCTTAGGCAGCAAGATCTATGTTAGAGTGCCGATTCAATAACCAACAGTCTAAGAACAAACTATCGATCGTTAACTTCAAAGCAATAGGGTTACTAGAAGTACAGAACTCAAGCAGCATCGTTAGCATATTGGTATCCTGGTTAAAAACAACATAGGGACCAAGGAAGAATGGTGATGGTGAGAGGTGTCATCATACCGAGAATTTCTAAGAGGTGGAGCAATCCCCACAACATTCTCGACAAAAAAGGATAGTAATACTTCAAGGCAGAACACAACACTAGCTGGAGAGCAAGTTGTATTCATAATGTGGACAAGTTTGCAATGAGAGGAAGTCAAGGGTGTTGTCGATGATAATAAAAATGTTGTGTTCTGCTAGTGTTGTGTTCTGCCTTCTGGCATTCTGCAGTTTAGTCCATCGATATTGCCTCTTTACACATATGCCCATTCATATGTATTATAGATCTTTGCTTACGAGTACTTTGGATGAGTACTCACGGTTGCTTTGCTACTTGTTTTTCCCCTTTCCCGGTTATTGCGATCATATGATGGAGTCCAGGAGCCAGAGGATCCCGAGGATGATTCTACGTGGAGTTCGGATTCGAGGAATAGTTAGGAGGTCCCAGGCAGGAAGTCTTGCCTTTTCGATCGTCGCAACTTATGTGCTTGCCTTCTTAAGGTAAACCTGTTTAATTTATGTCTGTACTCAGATATTGTTGTTTCCACTGACTCGTTTATGTTCGAGCACTTGTATTCGATCCCTCGAGGCCCCTGGCTTGTAATATGATGCTTGTATGACTTATTTTACTTTTAGAGTTGTGTTGTGATATCTTTCCGTGAGTCCCTGATCTTGATCGCACACATTTGCATGCATGTTTAGTGTATGATTGAATCGGGGGCATCATATTGGTGCAACACCAACTTCCCTGACTTGTTGGCGAAGATCCAGGCATCAGCACCTCGCCACCGCCACATTAGGTGGATGTGCATCGGAGTTCTGGCCTGATCGCTCTGGACCGTCCATAATAGGCTTGTCGTCCAACGTGCTCCTCTTCGATGTGCTACTGACGCCATCTTTAAAATGTGTGGTTACTTGCAGCTCTGGCGGCCGCTTAGCCGCCCCCAGGACCGGAGCGCCATCGACTTTCTCCTCGCCGACCTCAGAGCGATGGCTTCCGTGTGGCGCCCCCGCTTCCGCCATCCCCTCCGGAGCCAGACTAGATCTGCAGCTACTTCGGATCAAGGCCCCTCCGGATCGTCCCTTTGGGCTCCTCTTGGATGTGCTGGTGTTTTTATTTTTTGGGCTTGTTGAGTTATGCCATTAGCATTAACCTTGCTACCTTTGATGTGTGTGTGTACTTTCGCGCCTTGGGCGTGCGTGTGGTTGAACTCGTGTTTCTCTGTATGTGGCTTGTGCGGTTGGCTTTATACATAAAGCGGGGCGAAAGCCTTTTTCGATAAAGAGCTAAGTGCATATATCATCTCTAAATTTGTTGGGAAATTGGTCCCTAAATTTCAAAACCAGGCAGGTTGCACCCTGAACTTTCCTTACCTGACAATATTCGGAGACCTTAATTAGCCTTACAAACTGCCTCTGTCAATCGACGATCTAGGGAAGTACTACCGCACACGCGGTTGTTTCATGTGCCCTGCAGCAGCATCGCGTAGAGGATGTGGTTCCACGCGTCCGGCAGGCCGGCGATGCACCAGTGCGTGCAGTCCATGCCGTCCCGGCCAGGCCCGCCGTACACCGACGGGTGCGCGTCGATCCTGAGCTGCGAGAGCGACGTGATGTCCAGCAGGGACACCGGCGTCGACATGGACGCGATCAGACCCCGCACGACGACCTGCTCCGGGAACACCCTCTCGTCCCCGTCCGTGGCCACCTGCCGCGGCCGTGTCTGCTGGAAACAGCCCCCTGTCGCCGGCGCCGCCCCGTCGCTCTCCTGCTCCTTGGACCTACCCGTTGCATATGTAGAACAGAGTGTCATTAAGAAATGAGTATGCCCGGCCAATATCAAATCAGTCCATTTTATTTTTATTTTTTGCGAATGCCAATATCAAATCAACTGGGCGTGATGAGCTCACGTGTAGTGGCTTGGGGAGACGCCTTGGTAGATGACCCTAGTGAGCGATGCGTCGACGTTGGCGTCGACCCAGCTTGCCCATGTGGCGAGGCCTTTGGAGAAGGCGGCGAGCCGGTCCATGTCATTGTACGTCGTGTTTCCCTCCTGCATGTAGTCCCACCTGCACATGAATCGCCAGGCGAAACTTGGTTACATATTCATCTGTATTTCGGTACACGTACGCGTACAGGGACAACGATCGACAGAATACGTACACTTGGCTGGCGCCCTTGTAGGTCCACCAGTGCCACGTGTTGAAGACGAGCAGGTGGGCGCCGCGCCAGGACTCCGCGCCCTGCATCGAATCCAGCTTGAGGACGCGGCCGACGTCCTCCTGCACCACGTCCACCAGGAACCTGCTGAAGTAGAGCACCACCGACAGGTCGTAGTCCTCGAAGCGGACGGAGGAGACGGGGTCGCCGGTGGTGGAGGAGACGCGGGCGGGATCGGGCGCGGCCGCGTGGAGCATGCAGGCGAGGGAGACCCACTGGTTCATGCTCAGCGAGTCCCCCACGAACATCACCGTCTTCCCGCGCCACGCCTCCAGGAAGCTCAGCCCGTCGAACCTGCACCCATCAAAAGACCCTGTTAGTACATTGTACGCCGAGCATTCATCAGGTAACTGTAACGACGGTAGTAATACCTTGGGAGGCGGCAGGCGGCGGGGCTCCACCGGAACTTGAGGTAGGTGGCGTCCGGGCGGCCGTTGCGGCGGCAGTCGAAGACGTCGGGCACGAAGGGGCAGCTCGCCGCGTCGTACAGAGGGTACGACGCGTCGGCGATCCATCTCCCCTGGAACAGGTCGCACGACGACGACCCATCAACCACGCTCGGCACAGCCGCCGCCGCGGCAAGCGCTACGATGGCCGCCAGCGCGCAGCCATGGCGGAACCTGGCACGCAGCAGAGTCAGCGCCAGGTCCTCCTTGCCCATGGTTTACGCGACGAGACGGCGGGCACGACGCCATATATAGGCCCGATCGCGTCCTTCTGAAGCAGATCTGGTCGCGGGCACGCACGCACGGTTGCCGATGGTGCGCGCGCAGGCAGGCAGGCACAGCTACCTTTGCATGCGTGGTACTTCATGCTAGGAGTGCAGCTCAAGTTAGAAACTGCTCTGCACGGTGTGTGTGTGTGTGTGTGTGTGTGTGTGTGTGTGTGTGTGTGTTCCAAACAGGAGCGTCAAGTTTCGTCGTCCTGCACATGTGCGCGGGAGAGGGAAGGGGACTGGGTTTTGACCTCGGCCCCGCTTATCCAGGCGGGGCACGTGAGATGGGGCGCGACGAAATTACGTACTATGTGCAGCGTGGATCTCAAAGTACTTCGGTGCGTGCGTGGGAGTCGTAGAGGGCAAGGATCGAGGACGGAAGTCCCGTATATCATCTTCTTAATTTGCACCTGCCTGCCCATTGGCTGCCAATACAATATTGTGCCGTTGAAATTTGGATTGAACACCCAAAGTTTTTTGTGCAAGATTTAGTTCTTTTTTTCTCTATTCAAAATCATGCAGGAGAGTAACTTAAGGATCCCGGCACAAACGTCGGTCATCGATGTTAGAGAGAGGTTTGGCAATGTAACTCACGATGGTATTGACCGGATGCAGGTGCACGTATATAAAGAGTACAATGTGGGCCTTGAGGGAGTCCTGGACTAAAGGGTCCTCGGACGTCCGGTCTATCTGATATGGGCCGGACTAATGAGCCGTCAAGATACAAGAAGAAGATCACCTCTCGTGTCCGGAAGGGACCCCCGTATACATGGATGGCAAGTTTAGGTGTCCGGGTATGCTATTTTCCTTCTGTTAAACCGACTTTGTACAACCCTAAGCCCCTCCGGTATCTATATAAACCGGAGGGTTAGATCGAAGGCAGGATCACAACATTGATAGGCTAGCCAAGCTAGGGTTTAGCCAATACAGTCTCGTGGTAGATCAACTCTTGTAACCCCTATACCCTTCAAATATAATCAAGCAGGAGTAGGGTTTTACCTCTGTTAAGAGGGCACAAACCTGAGTAAACACGGTGTCCCTTGTCCATTGTTACCATCAATCCTCAGACGCACAGTTTGGGCCCCCCTACCCGAGATCTGCCGGTTTTGACACCGATATTGGTGCTTTCATTGATAGCTCCGTTGTATCGTTGGCGGAAGGATTGATGGCCCGCCTCTTCATCAGCAATGATGCTGCGTCCAGGGAGACATTTCTCCCCGGACAGGGTTTTGTGTTCGGTGGCTTCGTGCTTCGTGCCAACTCGATTGGCCGCCTCGAGCAGGTCAACAGTTACGCCCCCGGCCACCAGATCAGGTTTGGGAACCTGAACTACGTCGCTAACATCCGAGGAGATCTAATCTTCGAGGGGTTCGCGGTCTTGGATGTTGCTCTGTGCCCCCATGAAGAAGGCTCTTTGGATCCCACGTTAGACCCGTTCAAGGGTCAACACTCACACTTGCCCCGACCTTAGATCCAGGATGGGTCGTAACATCCGAAGACAAGGGCGTTAGCCCTGCCGGACTCTCTTTCATCATGGAGCTCCCGACCGAATACCCAGATGCAATCTTAGACTTGCCTCTGGGCGATAACTCTGAACCATCGAGGTATGCGCCCATCGGGTCCGATCAGGTGTCTCATGCCGAACTCTGCCCAGCAGACCCATAGTTTCCTGTCCAGCTTTTGCTCCTAGATGAAGCCTTGGGATTAATGCAGTCTCTCGCCATCACGGAGGCTTCGCCTCCGAACTATACCAGCTCAGACTAGGGGCTGAGAGCAGGGAATTCTATAACCCACCCACCACCCACTTAATAGCCACTGTCGAGGATTTAACCGACATGCTGGACTAAAGCCTCCGAGGAGATCGACGATATAGACGACGATGCCGACGCCGAACCTAGCCAAGTCCCACCCACCACAGGGCGTTGGACGGCCACTTCAACCTATGATGTGTACATGGTGGACACTTCTGATAACAAGGACGACGGGGATAATCAGAATCCCAATGAGGACAAACCCGTCGATAAACCACCAAAGCGCCGACGTCAACGGTGCCGCTCACGATCGCGTCGGGCAAAGGACAGTAATACCGGCACTGGAGATAATGAAGCCCTGGATAGTGCCAAAGATCCCGAAGACCCCGTCGAGCACACATCCGAACATGATAAGAGGGAAGAGGGTCAGTATAGCCCCGAACACGCTGATCACGAAGATTCGGAAGACAACAACTATATGCCAGTCTCTGAGGAGGATGTTAGCCTTGGTGACGAAGACTTTATCATCCCAAAGGAACCTCTTGAACAAGAACGCTTCAAGCGACAGCTCATCGCCACAGCGCGAGGCCTGAAAAAGAAACAGCAGCAGCTTAAAGCTGAACAGGATACGCTCAATGAAAGGTGGACTAAGGTCCTGGCCGCCGAGGAGTACGGCCATGAAAGACCTACAAATAGTTACCCCAAGCGCAAACTGCTGCCACAATTCGATGACGAAGCCCTTGAGCCAATACCGTCGAAATACAATCAGGCAGATCCAACCAGACCGACCACCACATGGACGGGATAAAGCAAC